ATATTTTGGTGGCAGCAAGTGAACGGCTTCGAATTGTAGTAACGAGCGGTGGGGACGCGGCTTCGCACCCTGTTTTCCCATTGATTGGGAAACGTGAACATATTATCTCAAAAACAACTGATGTACACAGGTAAAAAAAGTCAAGGTCTGCAGAGAAGTAGAAGTGGATAGAATTTGCAGCAGCAGAAACATTTGTGTTTTTCCCATTTGGATGCCACATAAGAAATATTATGGACTATGATGAAATGGAAATGGTGTCCCAGACAAAAGGAAAACTGTGATTTAATCAGAACATCTGTCTATATTTAGTTGTGTACATTGGTAACTCTATCAAAGCTTTTGAATAGTAAATGTGAAATAACTATTTAACATAAAGAAAACATTCTTGCATTTGTTTGCTTTATTTTGACACCTCATTCCAGCTCCTGCTGCAGTTAAGGCAGAGGTTTCAGTCAAAGAAGATAAGGCCAAGGAGTTTTTGAGAAGCCTAAAACGCCAGAAGCGCCAGTTGTGGGATCGAAGTCAGGCCGATGTTCAGCAGTGGTACCAGCAGTTCCTCTACTTGGGCTTTGATGAAGCTGTAAGTAGCAAAGTCTGTCCAAATATTTTAAAATGTAGTCCATTGATGAGAAGTATTAAAGAAATCCCTCTGGAAGAGTGATATGGCCAGTTTAGATTTAATACTAAAATAAAAATAAATTAACATTAAATTTCATTTTCCTGCAAAACTCATGAAGCGTATAAGCTGTGGACACATGCTCAAAAGTGCTCAATTTGAGCTCTGAATTCATTCAACAGTGCTCCAAATCTTGTCTGATCTTGGATATTGAGCAGGGTCAGCCTTGGTTAGTACCTGGATGGGAGACCGCTAATGAATATTAGGGGCTGTAGGCTACATTTCAGAGGAAGAAACTGGCGGAACTACTTTTGAGCATTTAGTGCCTGAAAAAAGCCTATGAAATTCATGGGGTTGCTCTAAGTCCTGAAATGATTGTCTTTGGCTTTTTCCAGGAGAATGCTTCAGACATGAAAACTACAAGCCTCCTTTAAAAATACAACAAAAATAATGTAACATGATTTTTGTTCCTGGGTTATAAATGTCATTTCCTAATTGGTTCTAGCATAAAAACATGGGGAAAATATATTAAACAGCAAAAACTTATGGGTTGTTGTAGGTTTTCCGGGCTATATGGCCATATTCTAGAGGCATTTTCTCCTGACGTTTCGCCTGCATCTATGGCAAGCATCCTCAGAGGTAGTGAGGTCTGTTGGAAGTAGGAAAATGGGTTTATATATCTGTGGAAAGACCAGGGTGAGACAAAGGACTTTTATCTGCTGGAGCTAGGTGTGAATGTTTCAACTTACCACCTTGACACCTAACCTGACACCTAACATTCACACCTAGCTCCAGCAGATAAAAGTCCTTTGTCCAGCTCTCACCTCCATAGGTGACTGGGGAAGGGTTGTATACTCTCACCCAATCTATTCAACTTGTATGCATAACACATCATGCGATGTGCAGGGCTTGATGAATGCAAGGTTGGGGTTAAATTGCTGGAAGAAATATTAACAACCTTAGATATGCAGATGATACCACTTTGATGACTGAAAGTGAGGAGGAGCGGAGAAGCCTTCAAAGCAAGATGAAGGAAGAAAGTGCAAAAGCTGGGTTGCAGCTAAACATAAAAAAAAAAATCAAGATTATGGCAACAAGAATGATTGATAACTGGGAAATAGAGGGAGAAAACGTGGAGGCAGTAACAGACTTTGTATGTCATAGTTAGAGACATTCCTAGTTCCTGCTGAACAAGTATCCTCCTGAATAGTTGTTAAACTTGCAAGTGCTGTACCTCCCGCTCCTTTATGTGTGTCAAAAATAACTGACTAAAGGGAAGCTTGTATCCCACAATCAGGAACACTGTTTCTCTAGTACTCCTATGACACATAAGGTGGCTCTCCTGGATTTGTTGAAATCAGATTCATGACGGCTAAGCCACTTCAGACCTGTCCTTTCCCTCCCTTTCAGGGTGCACTTGTTGACTATAAATTTAGGCACAGGGCAGTAGTTTTCAAAAATGCTTACTGTAAAAGGAGCATAAGATACACACAAAAAAGAGCTTGAATCTTAATTCTGAAGAGTGTTAAAAGTAATAGAATACAAATCCCCAAAACAAAAAGAAATTGAACTTTTGAGCCAGGCTGGATGCTTCTCTGTCACTGTGGTGGAGATGGAATATCTTTCCGCTTTGGTGGAACTTTGCACCTCTGGAATATTTGCTGAACCAGGATGATTATATTTGTTTGTACCCTGGTTCTACTCTATTCCCTCAGGTTCTACTCTATTCTACTCTATTCCATCAGTCAAAATCCAAGTTGATTTTGTTTATTGCCAAATAATATTATACCATATTTTCTTTTGAAATGCTGCACACGTAAAATTTGATTTAGATTCATAGAAGAGTGAAGAACCTTCAAATGTGTTTCTGTTTTTGAAGTTTTAAATTTTACCTTTAAGCAATTTTTAAAGGGCTTCAGCTTTTAAGTCAACAGCTTCTATTTTCTGTCCTTTATATACAGAAATTTGAAGATGATGTCTCGTACTGGTCTAACCTAGGTCGCAGTGGCCATGAATATTATGGTGGATACTACCACCATCATTATGATGAAGATGCACCCATCGGCCCTCGAAATCCCCACAGCTTCAGGCATGGAGCAAGTGTCAACTATGATGATTATTAATCTTTTCTACTTTGTATAAGGTGAAGAGGAAGATTGATAACTCCTATATACCTTTACTCCACTCTTTATGTTATGTTATGAAAAGTTTTTTATATTCTTCGAGTAGCATGGAATGTACAAGTGTTAGAATAAAAGCTTTCTGATAAACTATTTCACTAAATTACTGGGGGGGGGGAGCTGAATGTAATAATGTTTGAAAGACAATTCTAGATGTTTGTCTTTGTACAGTCAACAGCCTTGTGATAGTCTCTTGCTATGACAGCCTCTTGTTTGCAAAACAAAAACATATTTTTGACCTGCATAAATAGGAGTTTAGTGTCTAGATCCAGGGAAGTCATGCTACCCCTCTATTCTTCCTTGGTCAGATCACATCTGGAATATTGTGTCCAATTCTGGGCACTACAATTGAAGAGAGATGTTGCCAAGCTGGAATGCACAACAAAAACCATTTTTCCCTTGGTGACTTGATTTTTAGGCTTGTTCCTGGAGTTATTTGGGGTGCTGATTCAGAAAATTGCATTGGATAGACCACATCAGCTCTAGGTTCTAAGATATGGTTATCATGATTTTCTATGGGTGACTGGTCGATGGCAGGGGGGCTATTTCTGGAATCAGCAGGTCACATATATTCAGAAATAGGTCTAACATTGAGGCATTAACATGTGTGTTGACTAGTGTAATATATGAAATATGTGCTTACTAATTGTAAAGTGGCATGGAGACCTGTAATATCATTTATTACAATCTGAGCCAGCAGGGAGGCCTCGGTTCATTTATGCATGACCGTTATAGAATATTAGAACCAACAGTACAGTTTGGCAGATACAAAAATGCTTTTCAGGGGCAATCGCCCCTTTGTGTGTGTGTGTGTGTGTGTGTGTGTCAGGAGCGATGAGAAACTGCAAATCGTTTCTGGTGTAAGAGAATTGGCTGTCTGCAAGGATGTTGCCCAGGGGATGCCCAGATGTTCTGATGTTTTACCATCCTTATAGGAAGCTTCGCTCATATGTCCTCGCATGGGGAGCTGGAGCTGACAGAGGGAGCTCATCCACCCTCCCTGGATTTGAATCTCCTACCTGTCAGTTTTCAGTCCTGCTGGCACAAGGGTTTAACCCATTGCGCCGCCTGGGGCACCCTATAAGCCAGTGTTTCTCAACCTGTGGGTCCCCAGATGGTTTGGTCTCCAACTCCCAGAAATTTGAACAGCTAGTATACTGACTGGGATTTCTGGGAGGTGCAGGCCAAAACATCTGGGGACCCACAGGTTGAGAATCACTGCTAAGCCAATTTGCAGCACTGACATCCTAGTCACAACAGTTCTTTCCGATGTTGCTGAGAAAGAGAGAGAGAGAGTGAGTTGTGTGGAGAGTGTCTACAATGCAGTTGTTTCTGTATGATTTACTTCAAATGTTATTGATAAAGACATACAAAACTATCTGGAGAGCTGCCATAACTCTGCAGTAGGTCAAACACATAGCACATATTTTTCTGCAGCATACTGTAAGTCTTCAGCATCATAAAAGACAAGAAGAGAGCACTTTGACAAACAGCCTCACAACTGCAGCAATTCCATTCAGACTTCTTTACTATGAAAATATAAAGCTGTTAATAAGTTTATTTAGTGTGGCCAGAACATTTCTCACTAATGCAAATACATCAGGGAGACACTGTTTTTGTAGGAGTCTTGCACCACTGTAATTAAATTAGGTCACTAAGAGTGAATGGTAGAAAAGTGTCAATTACTACTGTAAACAACAATACAGGTTTAGCAGTAAGGAAAATGTAAGCAGTAAGGTATTATATTCAGCTTAAGTACATGACTAACAGCTTCATATAAATCCAAGGGAGTACCTTTAAGAGGATTGGGTTCAGTGGCACATATTAAAACTTCACTCAATATTGGTTACGAAAGCAAGTGTCAAAAGTTTGGCATTACTTTTCTTAGACTTTTATATAAATATATCAATAAGTTTTATAGACCTTTACATCAATAGGTCAAAGGCATGCTCCACCACAAATATCATAGAATTTTCACTTACTGAAATCTGTAAGTTTCAATATTTTATTAAAATAGCATATTCATCCACTGGTAACCAATAATACACCATTTTGCCCCAGAGTCTGCACAACACAGTAGTGATTTAAAATAGCATTTATCCATGAGAGTCAGTGGAAATATTTTCAAATTCAAGTGTGCAACTATAACTAAACACCTGAAAAACAAACAGATTTCAAAAGAATACATAAAGCTCTCATACAGAGTTTTTATAATCCTATAATACTAAATGCCAGTGTTTGTCACCTTGACAATACTGCAAACTTTTTTTTACCTTTATGCATAGTATCTCTCACTTATAGTACCCACTTTTATAAATAAATTGGCATTTCCCATCTTATCTGCAGCTTCACAAAGAAACCAGTAAATAAAACTGTCAAGGACAGTCACAACAAAATGATCTCACAGCAAGATATAAAACTTGAAGATACTAAAAAAGATGCTCCTATTTTACATAAAAAGACAGATTTAAAAAGTGCAAGGCAAAGGTTGCAGTTTTCTTATTTAGGCACATCCACTTCTTTAAAGCAAGCTTCAGAGTGAAATTCCAGTTTTCGCTTCTTCATGATACCTGTTTCTGAAGTCTTTTCCAAAAAAAGGACAATATTACATCTTCTCAAATGCAAGGTAAGGAGAGTTATTTCTTGTCCAAATGTTTTTAGTTATGTCTGGTTCTTCCTTTTTTTATCCTGGCGGGTTTTGGTTTGGGAATATATTGATTATTTGCTTGATATTCAAGTTCTTTCCGAAAGTAATGGATTGCTTTATTTAAGCCTTCTTCCAAAGGAACCTGTTTACAACGGGAGACAACAAAACCAAATAAGCTTTATCATTACTTTTCAAAAAAGTCGAGGTATAGAAATGGTTTTGGTGTTATCCATTTTTTTTCACAGTTGTTATAACAAAAATCACAGAACAGGTTATAGTCCATTGTTTTCAAAATATTGAGACGAATATCCTTTTCCCCTTCACTCAGAGGTGATTCTGTGAAAATCTAAAGGCGCTGTGGGTTATCCTACCAAAAATGTACAGTTACATTAGGGAAAAGGTCCAAAGTGGAAAAAAATTACATACTTTGCTTTGATTCTGTCCCGTTTGTTTTTAAACCCTATAAGCTTTAGGAACATTATGACTTTTACCAGAGCTTGGAACTTCACTTTTGAAAAACAATGATCTTTTGTAATGTGGAAAATATAATGAAATGACTGTTTCCACACTTGTATCAGTCCTTTCATTTTTTATATTATTTATTTATTATTTATTTACGCTATTTCTGTCCCGCCCATATCAGCCCTAAGGCGACTCAGGGCGGCGTACAAAGTCGGCACAATTCGATGCCACATATAAATAAATACATTGATAAAAAGCAGAAAAAAGAAACATTACAATATATTTAAAACCATAAAAACAGTGAACAATAAAATTAAAAAAAAACCTGTCTTCTTGTTCAAATCCCCATCATCTTAACCGTTCCTGGGTCATTTTCCGATTCAAGTTTGTCTGGCTTTGCTGAGGTTCCGAATGCTTGCTCAAAGAGCCAAGCTTTCACTCTTTTTTGAAAGGTCAGGAGGGAGGGGGCCGATCTAATATCCCTAGGCAGGGAGTTCCACAGCTGAGGGGCTACCATAGAGAAGGCCCTGTCTCTCATCCCCACCAGATATGCTTGTGAAGCAGGCGGGATAGAGAGCAGGGCCTCCGACGACGATCTCAAGTTCCTGGTGGGTTCATAGAAAGAGATGCGTTCAGATAGATAAGCTGGGCCAGAACCGTTTAGGGCTTTATAAGTTAAAGCCAGCACTTTGAATTGTGCTCGGTAGCAAACTGGCAGCCAGTGGAGCTGACGCAGCAGCGGAGTTGTATGCTCCCTGAGCGCCGCTCCCGTTAGCAACCTGGCTGCTGCACGCTGGACCATTTGGAGCTTCCGAGCCGTTTTCACTAATTTTGCCCTTGAAAACCTAGACCTGATTTTATCAATTTTTAAAAAATCTTGCTACTCTACTCACTGTTACCATTATATAAAGTAAAGAAAAAGGTTTCCCCTTGACATTAAGTCTCGTCATGTCCGACTCTGGGTGGTGGTGTTCATCTTCATCTCTAAGCAGAAGAGTTGGCGTTGTCTGTAGACTCCTCCAAGGTCATGTGGCTGGCATGACTGCATGGAGTGCTGTTACCATCCCACCAAAGCAGTACCTATTGATCTACTCACATTTGCATGTTTTTGAACTGCTAGGTTAGTAGAAGCTGGGGCTAACAGCAGGAGCTCACCCTGCTCCCTGGATTCGAACCACTGACCTTTTGGCCAGCACATTCAGCAGCTCAGCGGTTTAACCTGTTGCACCACCAGGGGCTCCAAATCATGAAGTATGAAACATTAAATTAAGAAAACTCACAAGGTTTCTGAGGTTCAAGAGGACACTGGTTTTGGGATAGGAGTTCAGCAGCTTAGCGGTTTAACCTGCTGTACCACCGGGGGCGAATTGTATAAGCAACACTATTTTACTCTTTTATTTATGCCTCACCTTCTCTGCTCGCTGCCCCAAAGTTAGCTTTCAAGGTGGCTTGGAAAATCTTTTTTTAAAGCATGCATTGCTCATGCCTTTACTGCAGCATCACTCCTGCCAGCCCCACTCCCATGCAGGGAGCAAAAACCTTGAATTCAGTCCAGTGGGGATTGGAGCCCGCCACTCTTCCCCATCTCTTTTTCTTCTCTATTTCATTTCTTTCTCTCTACTTTTTAAAATAAAAGCCCTGTGCATTGCACTTGGGGGTTTTGTAAACATATCAGTGCTCTCTGGGAAGTTTCCCAGAAACGCTAATGACATTTCCCTCCAAGATTACCCAGAGCTATAGTGCAATCGTGGTCAAATATACAACTCTGGAGTACTTCTTGCCAATAAATCTCAATGCTCTAGGAGGCATCATGTAATTAGCATTTCTGAGGCTTCCCAGAAAGTGCTATTAGCCTTACAAAGATGGAGTGTAATCTGGAGTATATGTAAAAAATGGAAGGGAGTTTGGGAGGAAGGGAGACTTTAGGGGAAAATATAAGGGCAGTTTTAGAATGGGCTGAAGTATGGATATATGAGGAAGA